GAGAGAGGGAGAGAGAGAGAGAGAGAGAGGGAGAGAGAGAGGGAGAGAGAGGGAGAGAGAGGAGCTGATAAAATGGATCATAAGCCCTGTCAACCCAGTTCTGCTCCATTAGTTCATTCTTTAGTGTATTGAGAGATTCCTCTGTTCTTACTCTTCTAAATTCATTTTTTTGTCTTTTCCTGTAGTTATTATTAAATATTGTAAAATCTGGCAGCTGGTCACTGATGTCACTGATAAGTAAGCAGCTTGTTATTTTATTGTCAGTGATATTAGTTAAGAAACTATCACTCAGAGTGACACTGTGGGATGTAATTCTGCTGGGGCGAGTCATTTTTGGGAGGAGGCCATTACTATACACTGTACTGATACATTCATCTGTGCTTTTGTGATTGTTAGGATTTAAAAGATCAATATTGAAATCCCCACATACAAACATATCCTTATTGCCTATAGTTGCAAACATACCCTCCATCCACTCATCGAATGTTTCCTCACTTGAGCCTGGTGCTCTCTACATGTACAGCTGACTGTAACATCTTTATTTCTTTCCTTGCATGTTTCAGTGGTTAGGCATTCCAGTACATTATCAACCATGGCCGACATATTATCCAAGACCTCGAAGTTTAAAGACGTATCAATGCATAATGCGTCCCCTCCCCCGGCCTGACTTTGCCTATTTTTATACCTGAGTTCATATCCGTCCATCTCAAAGTCTAAACCTTTTTCAGAATTGATCCAAGTCTCTGATATTGTGATCATATGGAAGGGTTGAGAAAATGTTTGCAAATAGTAGAGTTGTACCGTACAGTATCAGAAATGCCTCCGATACTGCCTAAAATGCAGTATCAGGTATCGGCGAGTACAACCTATGACCAATCCAATACCACGTAATGCCTCACGTCATTACGCATACGCACACTACAGGCAATAGAGTTTTAGGAGTTGAGACATACAACAGTTCATATCCCATCCATTTTTATTTTATGCACTGGTGTCAGATCGGTACTCGGTATCGGCAGATACCTAAGGTTCAGGTATCAGAATCGCGATCGGGAAGGAAAAAGTGGTATGAGTACATCTCTAGCAAATAGTCCTTGATGTTAGTGTTTATAAACTTCAGCTGTTGAAGTGAATAATTGATCATTTGCCCGTTGATGCCACCTTCTGGTTGAATTGTACCTCCGTGTAGTAGCAGCGGTTAGTGTTTGTGGTGGAAATAAAGTTCTTGTCTGGGTCTATATTTTGTTCCAAATCCAGTATACTATGATCAGTGTATTCAAATGTTCTCAGCTCCAGGTCGTCATTAGCAGTTATTCTCTGCGCTACAGGTACGTGTAGAGAGAGATCTGTCAGTGTGTGTCGACTTCTGGTCCTCTTGTAAATGCTGCTGTGAGAGCACAAACCAACTCCAGGCAATTATACAAGTTTGGACCAACATGAGTCCCTGATTCAGACCAGAGGAGACGACTGTAGGGCTGACAGCAGCCTGAAACTGTTTCTGAGTTTTATTTTGTGTCGAGTTTAACTTAAGTGTGTTTAATGATGATACACTTCAGTGTGAACATTCCCAGGCTGGTTCGATTAAAGCCTTTTTTTCTCTCTCTAAATACTGAACCAGTTTCAAAAGTGTTCCCATGGGTCACTCTGACACAAAACACAGGACAGAGTCCAGGCTGAAAGCCACTGAAGGTGACCTTTTGACCTTTGAACCTCCGTTTAGCAGCTGGAATCTGTGACATTTGGAGCCAGTCCAGAATACAACTAATTTCTACAACCGACCGCAGCCAACCTTCTTAAACTCATCAAATATCTCTGAAGTTCTTCCTGATTCAACATCAGCTCCTGATCTAAATGGTCTAAAATCATGAGCCAGTCTGAGTCCTGTCCCCCCGACTACATCTAATTTTCCCTCAAGTTCTTCACTTCCACTAAAATATACGTCAGACCAACCTTCATTAAAAGTAAAGAAACATCTCAATATTTTAGTTTTTAAACACACACACTTTATTGCAAAGGATTTTCCACCACGGTCTGTAACATGAAACACTTTGATTCACAGAAGCATCAACAACAAACAGCCAGAACACACTGTAACATTTACACTTCATCTGAGCGTCGATTTACTGTCAGCAGCTCCGCCATGTTTCCCTCAGTCTGCTTCAACACCAAGAAAATATAAAACCTAACTCAGGTTTTGTTCTGAAGGCGTCGCCTCCTGACGCTTTAAATCTTTCAACCTGCTGACAGAAAATCAAACGTTCATTTGTAACAGTTTCCTCGTTGATTCAAATCTCGTTGGGTGATGAGATAAACGTGACCTGCAGGAGTTTCGAAGCCGAAGTGAATCAACGTGTTCAGGAATAAAAATCTGCTCAAAGGAATGATGTCACATCTCATACAACAACAACAACAACAACAACAACAAACATCACAGGTTGTAACTGTAAAATAAATAACTCAGGTGACGTCTGACCACCTGACCTCGCCTCAGTGATCTCAACCAACCACGTTGACACAAGTTAATGACTCTCCGTGGCTTCAGCTGCTGATTGGTCGGTTATAAAAGGAAGTTGTAACAGAAACTTTGCGGACAGACAGCAGCTGGTGTCGGCTCCTCCAGGCTGCAGCTCTTTATGTCACCATGTACTCCTGACGCTTGTTGAGTCGGACCTGGCAGAGCGAGACGGCACCCACCGCCACGTAGATGGCGGCGGCGATGAAGCAGTTGATGCCGACCTGGTTGTACAGACTGTAGATGTTCTGAGGAGGATTTTTACTGCAGGAGAGAAGAGCAGACGTGTTAATAAAGACTCACTGATGCTCAAATTCTGAGTCTAAAGCTACGATAACCACCTCAGGGTTGTTCGCCTCCGCGACCCCGTCAAGTTTCTGTGACAGTTCACACACAGAAGATTCATACGAGCACAGTCACAGACTTATGGCTAAAAAAAGGGGTTTTGTGAGGTCATGGTGACCTTTGACCACCAAATTCTAATCAGTTCATTCTTGAGTCCAGGTTGATGTTTGTGCCAAATGTGAGGAGACTTCCTCAGGACCTTGTTGAGATATCGCGTTAATGAGGGTGAGGCAGATGCAAGGTCACAGTGACCTTGACCTTCAAACACCAAATTCCAATAATTTCAAATTTGAGTCCAAGTGGATGTTTGTGCCAAATTTGAATAAATTCCCTCAAGGTGCTGTTAGGACACCACGTTCACAAGAATGCCACAGACAGACAACTCGAACACATGATGTCTCCGGTGTATTAGAAAAGCAAAATAGTTGCAGATTAATTTTCTGTTACCTGATTAATCGACTAAACATTGCTGCTCTGTTGACCGAACCATGTTTTTTTACAGTAACTACCATTTTTAGTCACCTAAAAAAAATCAATTAGTGCTTCTCAAAGTCAAAGATGCTCCGTTGGTAGACTGAGTACTTCTGAGGCAGAATTTATACTTTGGCGTTGAATCAACGCTGCACCTACGGCATAAGCTCTGCAGCGACGTGGAGCCTCCGCTGTAACCTGACGTGCACCTCCCCAGAAATGTAACTACGCATCACAGTGACGCAGACCTCCTGTCTGTCTCTGTGAGCTGAAACCATTTCCCTCAGTGGAAACAAAGCTTTGATTCACTTTAATTTCACAGATAAGAAACAATAAATTGTGAAGACAATAAAGCCTCCACACATTGTGTGTGATTTATCCTGGCTTCATATGAGCCGAGGAAATCTCTGCTAGCTGCTAGGCTAATTTATACAATGTAAAATGCCATAGGCTTGTGCTAATGACGTTAGCATGTTGTATTTGTGGGGAAAATGTGTTTAGTGTTTTGTCGTCATACAAACACATGTATAGATGCTCTCAACAGCGTAGGGTCTGCCGCACAAGTATAAATCCCTCTAAAGTCGGGTGCGACAGAGCCTCGGCAAGACTCCTAGCTAGAGTTCGATGAACACACATTAGAACAGGCTAGTGAGTACCCAGGTGTGCGTAACTGAAGAGACCCTGCCTTCGATTCCGGCAAAGCAAATGCAAAGAATTGTGGGTACTTCATTCCACTGAGGATACACATATGCAACCTTATATGCAAATTTTCTGAGGGAAGGACTCTGTCCTCGGTAGAACTGGAAGGATCTCTGACACTGGAACAGTTTTCGGTGGGATTCATTCACGTAGCCTCCTTTAAATCTAACGATCGCTCTTTGAGTCTGAGAAGCACCAAGCATCAGTTTTTTTCACTGCGTTACCTCGCCGTCAGACGGTCCTTTCTGACGGGGGACTGAAGCTGTTATCTCGAACCCCGCTGACTAACAGTAACTGTACTTCGCAGAACACTGGAGTTTGTGTTCTACCACTGAAACCGTCTGTTAGTGTGTGTAAGGTAAATCAGTGACGACTCTAAATACAGAGGACACTTTAGCTGACAGTATTTTTTTTAAGGTGTCTACAATACGTTTTGCTGCAACTCACTCGTTACGGATGTCCTCCTCAGTGAACGGGACGTCCTCGATCAGCACGGCCGACTTCGCACTGAAGAAGATTCCCAGCATGGCCTGGAAGAAAACAACAGAACACAGAGGGTCAACACGAGGCCCGGGGACACGACTGAGGACACAGTAGAAGACACAGCTGAGGACACAGAATATCAAAGAGGAAACGCCTCTTGACCTCTTGAACGTTGACTCGTTCTCTGATCAGATCGTCTCTGACCCCCACTCAGCGGCCGCAGCCATCAGTATCTAGTCAGCACAACCCCCAGCTCCGAGGACACCGGACAGCCCCGACTGCCCGTCGGATCAGTCCACTTCCTGTTGTTGTTGTTACACACCAGCCCGCTGTGACACCCGGCGCTGGGAGGTTTGAGCTGACCGAATTCAAGCCGCCAACTGAAGGTCCGTCTGTCGAGCTGCTGCCAGCTCTCCTCCAGAGGAAGCAGTCCACAGCGGCGGGGAGCGAGGCGGAGTGAACCTGAGGCGGCTAACGTTAGCTAGCTAATTCTTATCTCATTTGTCGTCTAGAGAAAGAGGGTTTGTTTCCAGGATTTCTGCCTCGGCCAGCTTTGAAACACCAAACCTGACAGAAGCAGAACATCTGCTATTCTTCCTGATAAACGACTTAAATCATTGATTAATTTTCTTTTCATCGATTCACTGACATGTCACGTGTTACTACAGACGCTGGTGATTTTTCCCCAGAGTTCAAAGCTGTTCTTCAGCTTCTCTGTGTGAAGAAACTCAAAATAATTTCCAAAAGACGTGAAACAGAAACGCAGCAGTTTGAACCAGCTGATTTTTTTTTTTTTAACAAGAGATGCACGATGCTATCAGCACATCATCAGTATCAGCTGATGACAGCTTTAAAACGAACTATCAGAATCAGCCAACAGGCTTTTTCTTATTTTACACAATGAATGAATGTCACAGACACTGAACAGTGTTTCATGTCTCCACCATAAGAGTATGTATGTATAATATGATGTTAATTCCACTGTAGAAGAGACTTGATGATGATCACTGAGATTAAGAGGGAAAACGCTGGATATATTGATATCAGTATCAGTTATTGATCAAGGAAGTGGATATCCGCAAAAATCCGTAATTTTTACTATGTGAAAATCAAACGTGTGAATCAGGAGTCAAACTGGAGCTGACGTGTTTTAAGATGTGAAAAATCAGCCCGATAACTGAAAGAGTGAAACTCAGAGCTGAAATAATGAAAACAATATCCACAGTGATGTCGGGAGGGAAACAGTCCAGAGACACTGAGTTTATAGGCAGTTTTGAAAAGGTGTGTTTTCACTATCAGCTCTATTTGATTTATATTATTATAACTTATAATACTGATGTATTCTCTCTGTGACTGCACAGTGACACATTCTGTTAGTGGAAGTGGAAACAGTGACTTCCTGCTCTGAAACATCACATGAGGGCAGAAATAAGAGTCACATGATGCTTTACACTCCAGTTCCTAATTTATCACACTTTGATTAATCATTTTAATAACGAGGGGACACTGATCCAGAAACACCATCCATCAGCTGTTCACATAATCACGATTTAAAGATGCTGATCGATCACTGATATCTGACATGAGTCATGAGTCTAATCCACACAGATACTTTCCATTTGGACAGCAATCATCCATTCATTTGGGCAGAAACCCAGGCTTTAGCCACCTCCATCACGTTAATTACACAGACCCTGATGTTTGGTACAAAATCACTGATCGAACTGGTTCTGTATTGATTATTGGTGCAGTGTTAAAACGCAGCTGTTACTACCTAATGTACATTTAGCTTGGCCTGCTTCGGCTCCGTCTATTTCGTGGAGACGAAATACCGATCGGTGATTAGTCTGCGACAGATGCCGCATTTTTCATCATTTACAGATTCTCACGAACTTCAACAAACACGTGATATTATGAAAACAATGCGCTAAAACATTCTGATATTCATTTTTAATAAAGACGCGAACAGATGACCAGTATGAGTCCAGGAAATAGTCCCAGCCGGAGTTCCATATTTCTTACCAGCATGATGACCCCCCAGATGCTGATCACTATCCCGCACGCGGCCATCTTCGGCCCGCAGAACAGAAGCGACGGCATGTCGGTGTTCGATCTTATCGATCAATCACAAACTGGTTTTATTTTATTTTTAATCACTAAACTGAGAAACGGAGCTCCGCAGTCAGCTGATCCTCATCACTCGGTTTGACTCGGTGGAACTCGACAACTCTCGTGATCCGTAGCGCAGCGACCAATCAAGTGTCCGGTTCGACACGCCCCGCCTTTTCCTGTAAGACTGACCAATGGCGTTAAACTTCTAAAGTCGCGCAACATTCCCTTTATCCGGTCCACCTTTGTTGTACGATATTTATATCTTTTCTTCTGAACATGTGAAATATATAAATAATTCCGGATCGATCCGCAGAGTCTGATCGGAAGAGTTTTTTCTCCAGAGATTCGTTTTTCACAAATCTTTCCGGAGTCTCGATGGAGGCGCGCTAACGATAGCGAGCTAGCTAACGTTACAGGAGCTAACTTTAGCTAGCAGCTAGCTGTGTGTTTTTATTTCTAATTAAAAAACACGTTCAAAGAAAATAAAAGCTAATTTAACGCATTCGCCGAGATGACGTCAGCCTCCGCAAAGGTAAGTTCTCACCTGCTTATGAGAGATCCACTTATTAAAGCACGGATCAAATCTTAGCTCAGAGCAGGTCACACAGATGAAACCAAGCCCCACTCAGAAATCAGTTAATGTAACGTCTTTGCTCACGATACAAATATATCACTCATAAAAAGTTCTTTAACCTTCGTCTCTTAAATAAACACAATTTAAAGGTTCATTCGGCATATTGTTAACAGACCTAAAACGCCTTGAAAGAGAAATCGAAATTTTGCTGTTGCTTGTGCACAAAACTCCACTCAGAAATTATTTAATTTTAGACCTTTGCTCATCGTACAAATACACGGGCTTCATTATATGTGATTTAAATTCTGTCTCCTAAATTAACACAATCCAGTGAAGTATTCGGCATGTCGCTAATGCAGCAAACACGTAACCTTAGATAGATATCCAATTGTTACGATTGTCTGCATTCAAAACTCCACTCACAATTTAGCTAATTTTACGCCTTCGCTTATTGCACAAATGTAGACCTGGTGAAAGTGGTTTAATTTTTGTCTCCTAAATAGATAAAAATCTAACGCTACATTCGGCATATCGTTAATGCCCAAATAAATAAATAAATAGAAAGAAGGGAAGTTAAACAATGCAGCATCAGAGGATTCCTTTTATTAAAATTTATCTTTATTGAAAGTCAGACATCAAATAATCCACTTATTGTGGAAAATAAGGAGATCGCGTTTTAAAATCATGCAGTAGATAAATCACCATATAAATGGTTACAGTGACGTATGATCGACACACTTGTCTCATTAATGACATGTTTTAGAGACTTCATTAGAATTAAAGACAAGATAGAACTTCACTGATCTGGATCATTAAACTGCTGTGTGTCCGTTCATACAGAGTTAAAGGGGTGCAGATACAAAGCGTGTCGTACACAGCGATTAATATAACACAGCAGGAAACAAATAATACAACATACAGTAAAAATTAATCTAGATGACATTAAGGTGCAACACAGTTTATACGGTGACCAAACAAAGAACAGGGGGATGATTTGGGCATCAGAGGGTTCCTGCTGACATCACAGACAGAACAGTGACATGTGTCCATGTGCACACAGTCTGTTGACCTCCATCATTTAACCTGTAATGTCACACTTCACAGGGGGCGAAGTGTAACTGAGTACATTTACTCCTGTACTCTTTATGAGAGAGTTCAAATGAGCTCAACCTGAAACATCTGCAGCTGTAAAATGACACGTACATTAATGCAGCGGGAATATTCATCCAGAAACATGACAGAGAATCAAGGAAACACTTTACTGCAACACACTGAGTGATACTTTAACTACGTATGAGTCCAGGTCAGATCTGGATCATCTCAGAGAGGCTGAAGGTTGTTACAGACAATAAAAGTTTCACAAATCTGAAACTGTGTTTTAAATCATCTTCAACCTCTCTGAGATGATCCAGTCCAGATCTGACCTGAGTCTGAGGTCAGTGGTTTTGACCTGAACCTGGTCTGATGTGGTCTACATGTGAAGAACACTTTTTTTTATTTTCACAAACAAAAATAAAGGTTTTATGAATCTAAAAGCAGGTGTCAGACAGCGTCGTTATCTAACATGTCTTACGAGCTTTCACAACAGTGGGAGGTGCAAAAAGCCGAGGATCAGTCGCTCAGCAGTTGAAGTTACGTTCCCCTTAACTCTCCCCTTAACTCTCCCCTTAACTGCTGAATCAGAAGCTCCCTCCTGTGAGGTGTTCTGCTGACACATTTAGCTCAGTGAGGACTCACAGTGTGGTGTCAGTACTGTCACTGCAGTCCAGGACCTGAGTTGTGAACACGCGTCCTCCTCTCTGCAGGTGGGCGAGATTTTCTCAGCAGCGGGCACCGCCTTCACGAAGCTGGGAGAGTTGACCATGCAGCTGCACCCGGTGTCTGACTCCAGTCCTGCAGGGTGAGACACACTCAGAGACGTGTGTGTGTGTGTGTGTGTGTGTGGAGGTGTTGACTGTGACGGAGTGACGAATTGATGAGGTCTGATGTGACAGATGTTTCCTTCAGTGATGACATCATCAGACACGTTAATCAACACGTGAATGAGTTCTGTCTTTTATAAAGCGAGACAGAGACGGACGTCCTTTCTGTGTGTCCAGTATAAACTGAGTGTGTCTTCGTCCTCAGGGCCAAATGGACGGAGACGGAGATCGAGATGCTGCGTCTGGCGGTGCGTCGGTTTGGAGACGACCTCAACAACATCAGCACCGTGATCAAAGAGCGCACTGTGTGAGTGTGAGACCTTCATCTCTTTAAGGCCTTTTTAAAAGGGTTCTGCACAGTTAAGGGATTTTTAATGGTAAAACCTTTTTGATTAATGTATCAACACAGCCTTAAAATCTGAGGGAACAAAAACCCTTCACGTCTGAATCCGTTCATCAGGCGCCCACTGGTTCAGTGGGTAGAGCAGGCGTCCCGTTTACAGAGGCACTGTCCTCGCTGCAGCAGCGTCAGGTTTGATTCCAGCCTGCGGCCCTCTGCTGCCTGTGATCACCTCTTCACCCTTAGGGCCGTAATATACGTGCTGCAAATGCAAACGCCACGGCATCATGGCTGCCATGCGTGATCTGCGTTCAGCTGCACATCTCAACACGAGGTATTGCGATGTGTGTGCGAGATGCAATATTGAGATGACGGCTAGAGGCCAGACGGAGTCGCTGTCGGAGCAATGGTGGAAACTTTTGAAGAGAGGCTGACAGCTGGTGCGCAACTACCTGCATCTCTATGATGTTTCCACTCCGTTACACAGCGACATAGTTCTTGTTCCTCATCAAGCATATCAAGGGCATCCATGTTTGTTTGCACCCGGTGGAGACCGCCAGCACTGTGCGTTTTGGCTGCGTAGTGCTGCAGCAAGTATAAACACAGACACGGCGCACTGTGTACGCGTACGTTTGATCCAACGTCAGGTCTGTTACGACCCTGAAACCTTCCAATCAAATAAAGAAAGAAATAATCTAATAAAAATAATAAATAATAATCTTTAAGAAATACTTCCAGGCACCAGACCTGGAAATGAACCTGACTCCTGTCTGACTGCTGAGCGTGGACACTTCCTGTGTCTGTCCTTTCAAATTAAAGTCCCACATGCTCCAGTCATATAGGTTTGGATTTATTTTGATGAGACGCAGCTCCTCATAGAGTTTCAGGGTATTGTGTTTTTTTTCTTCTGCGACTAAGCGACCAATGAAATCTTGCTGACTAATGTTTGGTCGACTCTCAGGAGGCGTCTCTACCTGAGTCATTTACTCAGTTAGTTCATTCAAAAATCCACCTTTATACAAAGATCAGAGCGACTCTGAAAAACTGAAACAACACAGACAAAAATAAATAAAATTAAATTAAAAAACAAAAATAATCAACAATTAAATACAATTTTACAAAATTAAAACAATAACACATTAAATATGAATAACTGATAAATTGATCGCTGACATTTAAAAACCATTTCTGTGTATTTTCTTTGTTTTCTTTTGATTAAATGTTGATTAAATACTTTAATATTGATTTGTCATTTTGGTTCTTGTTGTATTTTTTATTAATGATTACAATTAATAACAAATGTTAATTTATTGATAGTTGAGTTTATTTTATGAGGTTGAACCAATTAATTGTCTCTTATTTTTCTTTTTGGAGACGCTGCCCCTCGAGGTGATTCAGTGTAAATTAAATCAAATTATTTAAATAATTAATGATTATTTTTAATCATCATGAATCATTTCTGAGAGTTATTTTAACCCTTTGACGCTCGAGTTCCTGGCAGAGGAGAGAAGTTTGTGACTGACTTATCGTGAAGCTGCAGCTGGTTAGCTTAGCTTAGCATAAAGACTGTAAACATATGGAAACTGATAGCGTCTCTCTGTCTTCCTGTGCAGAGCGCAGATAAAGAGCACCGTCAAGAGGAAGTTGTACGAGGACAGCAGAGTCCCCATTTCCTCCGAGTCCCCGAAGAAGACCGTCAAGAAAACAGCCGCCGCCATGACGCCGGCTCCGACACCCGCTGCTCCCGCCATGATCGCCGTGCCGACGTCGCAGGTTGTCGTGGCGACAGGAATGCAGAGTAGCCCCTCTCTGGCCCCGCCCATCAAGAAACAGAAGACGGCAGGTGAGAAAAGACAGGAAGTGACTTTTGTCCAATCAGATGGAGGCATGATGATGACACACTACTATTTATTCTCCTCCTCCTCTTCCTCTTCCTCTTCCTCCTCCTGCAGACGTGACTCTCAGTGCTCTGAACGACTCGGACGTGAACAGTGACCTGGTCGACATCGAAGGACTCGGTGACGGCTCGTCCAACAAGAAACTCAACTTCGACCAAGGTGAGTCACATGACCATGACATCATATTTAGATTAAAGACACATCAAACAAAACAACAAGTAAAACAAACAAACATCCAAACAAAACAGCTGAGCCTGACTCACAGAGACAAACATCCACACGGGAAGAGACTCAGACAACAACAACAACAGATTATAAATCCTGTAGCAGGGACACGTCCACTTTGAACAGCTGGGCCGATACAGA